AAAAAAAAAAAAAAAAAAAAGGTTCAAAAATGAATAGCAAGCTACTGAGGCCTTGTCGTACCACCTCATGCCTGGTCAGAGGTACAGTCAGATGCATTGTGGACAGGGCTTCCTGAGAATGCCTTGAAAAGAAGGGGATTGTGGACGGGGCTGCGTGAGAATGCCTTGAAAAGAAGGGGGCTGACAAAGCAATAGGGTGTCCTCCCACTACTCTCGACATGCTCAAAAGACACAAATCATGGCCCTGTATCTTTCCATGTTCTAGGGGAAAATTGATTCTCATTTTGCGCGAGGCCCATAGATTGCTCCCCCCGCCTCTCACGTGGAGTCACGTGAGAAACAGAAGACATTCTTCTTTCGAAAAAAAAAACAAAAAAAACAAAGGCAAAATGTCATTTCAACCTCTGAACTACTTGACGTGTATCTACCCATGTTCTACAGGACTATTCATTCTCATTTTGCATACTCGGTGAGTTGTGGAGCGACGCCCTAGATCTTGATAGCTCTTATTTGCCTTTTTTTTTAGTAAGCCCTGCAAACAAGGCAGGGCACTCCTCGTTTTTCAATACTTCATAGCAGTAAACAGATGAACGCTTCCCATATTTCTTGGGAGATGCAGTTCAAACTGAAAAAAAAAACAGAAGCAGAAACTCCCCAGGCCCAAATCGTCCGCTCCACCCCTATTTTTTTGAAACGGGAAAAAACGCCACCCCTCAAAAGGGAAACTGTGGACGGTGCCTTATGCTCATTGTCGAACGACCTGGACAAGCTAACCTGCCCTATGACCGATCTTTGGGACGACTGCAACCGGACCCTTTTTCTGCTTTCGGAAACCCCAAACGGACCCATCCTAGCAACACTGTACTGCACGACATTACCGAAAATGGAAAGGACACGAAACGACGAAATGCAAACCACACAAGGCGCAACCTTCTGGCTGCGAACAATGTTCTTGCGTGGCCCGATATTTTGGGGAGGTTTTTCTGCACGAGGAGCACAGCGGAGAGAGCACCCCTCGTTTTTCAAGATTTGTCCTTGATGTGATCCATTCCGGAGTTGGCAGGCATCGGTGAATGATTTGCCATTGGAGGGCTCTGGGTTCGCACAATCTGAGCAAAAGAAGGGTGACAAAGGGGTGGATAGCACAATGGACAATCAGCCCAAATCAATGGACTTGTCTCTAATTGATCAAAAGGCTTCGGATCCCTCTTATTCTGATACCGGGTTCTTAATCCAGAAGGAAGTTTCACAAGACCATTTGCAGGGAAAGAAGGATGATGTGGTAATGGAAGGAAGGCAACTGGTAATTATGGAAGAGCAACGAAATGGGAGTGAGGAACATGGGATGGAGAAGGGGGAGAGAAGGAATGTAGGTTTAATTGGAGGAAGAGGGGGCAATGGGGGTGGAAGAGAGAATAGGAGGGGAGGTGATGGGGGAGGAGAAGGCAAAGGAGGAAGAATGGGGGAAAATAGTAAAACACAGGAGGGGGGCGGGCAATGGGGGCAGGGACGCTTGATAGGGGCTCTGGCAAAGGGAGCATGATAAGTAATACAGTCCCTTCTTCGTCACAGCAGGCTCTCCCACCGAATCCTGCTACTACTCTAACATGGGCACAAAGAGCTAGAGGTGTTTTCCAGGAAAAATCACTGGAAATCAAGAGGAATGGTTCGCAAGGTCAACCACTGCATGTTCCATTAGGGAATATTCCTACGGCAAGGGCGTTTTTTTCTGTTCAAATTTCTTAACCCATCAGAAAACAAGGTCATTGACTCAGGGGGTAAGAAATCGATGATCAAAGCTTATCCGACGCATAAATTAGCTGAACGGGATGCAGTGTATCAGGCCCATGCCAACAACTGGGTATTCTACGATGACGCAGCATATAAGTCAATAAATGATAAAGTGAAATGGATTAATAAAAGGCTTGCGTATTTCAAAGGATCAGGAAGTGGCAGTTGAAGATTTTATCATCCAACCAGTGAACTCTACGATATTCACAGTATTATGGTTGCACCTGACGGACAAGCAAACAATAGAACAATGAAAGGAATTGCGTTGTGACAGGTCAGAAGTCCATATATATCCATGGTCACCCATACGTCAAGGACCAGATGAGCGGCGTGCACAGCTCATGGAAGAACATTATTGGGTAGAGTTTAGACATATTCCTATAAAGATTCAAGCAGCGTTTATCTATGACTTTGGAACGACACATGAAATTGCGGATTTTATCGAACCTCTACCTGCATACATGGCTCGTAGGGATGATTATCTAATGCTGGCCTTGAACCATCCATCCAATCAACCTTTTATTATGGACGATGTTATCCCGTATAGGATAGGTGGTAAAGAATATCATATTCATACTGCAGATAAACTACACCCATGGTGCTTTAGGTGTAAGGCATATGGCCATTTGTGTACTGATGCAAGTTGTTCTCAAAACCCTACCCGGAAAAATAGAGTTACGGGGAGATTGATTCGGGATCCTTTTCGTAACAATCTATGGAGAACTGTGGATCCAGGTCATGAGGGCTGGGTCTTCATAAAAGGTTCTACAAAGGGGGGAGGGAACAAACGGTGGACGTGGGAAAGTCAGGGGGTCCCCAATTGGCACACCAAGCCACCAGACTCCTGGACACCTGCGGAGGTTACTATCAAGCCTATCTCTACGGTAGCAGAGGCCAATGAAAACAGGGGTGATCAGACAATACAGCAAGGAGAGACACAAGGTAGACCCTGGGGCGCAAGGAGAATCTAGAAATATACAGCACAAGCAGAATCCGGCAGGACAGATGCAATGGAGACCCAAGGATAAATCACTTCCGGGGCCACAACCGCAGCTCCATGAGAATCAGCAGATGGGTAATAAACAGAGGAGGGAATAACACAAGGAAGTGGGGTATCAGGAAAATCAGAGAAATCCGACTCTCACCCAGAGGTACTCTTCATCACTAATGTCAAAGATAATAATAATACCCAACCGAAACAAATTCTTTTAATTGAAATGGAAGATGCACAGTCAGATAGAAGGGATCAGACACAACAGGCTGTAACAAGAAAGAATTTAAAACTTAAAGCGAAAATAAATCACATCACAAAAGGAAAAAAAATAATAAGAATAAGAATAAGAACATCCACAGTCCGCAGAGGAAAAAAAAAAAAAAAAATCCTTCGGAAAGGCTGATGGTCACAATTGGGAACAACCTACTACTTCTCCCTGACACACAGCAAGAGCTGGAGAATGTAAGTGCAAATCAGATAGGTCAGGGGTCAAGAAAATCAGATAGCTTGTTATTAACTACGGGACCAGGTAATGTGGACGAAATGAAAATTGATAGTCCAGTTAGAGCAACCTCCTCACAGTTTTCTGAGCACGACCCATTTCCGGAGGCATTTGGAGCGGCCCCTATGGAAATAGACTCCACATTTGAGGGCCCGGAAGTATTCATGGAACAGGTGGATGATTCGTTGCTCTCCTCCAGCAAGGGGACATTAGATACGAGTATATCTGAGCAGAACCAAGTGACTGATGAACAAAAAATGAAGTAGTTAGCAGACTGGATGCTTATGAGGTTGAAGGATAAGTTTGGTACAACGTCCACTGAATTCTGGGATCTTTCTTATATTCAACTTCTTGATATCGTGAATAGCAGTCCTAGTTTGAGGAAAGTTATTTAGAAAGGACTTCCAGAAGGGGCTCAATGGACAGTGGTGAGTCAACGTATACTGGCTACTGTTATGAAATTATTTACACCCCCTCTCCCCCCCTCCCCGCCTTCATCTCCCCCTCCAAATGTATCTCATAATAGAAAGGCAGAAATGGAACAGGCGGTAAATCCTGTTTCACAGTCAGATACACAGTCGTTACCACATGTACTGGATGAAAAGGAAATTGAACAGGAGGGGAAGAGGAAAGGGAGAACATCATCAATGGGGGTATGAGAGGAAATGAAGATGGGAAAAGCATTAGAGATCAATCAGGGAACATTGACAATCCGCAGCAGTCAGAACTTGTAATAGTACTACCCAAACAGACTTCGCCTATCACTTTAGAAATAGAAAATGATAAGGGTAATAATGGTAATATTAATAGTAAGGCAGGGGATCAAGAAACAAGTAAACGGCATAAACTCAGACATATATTGGAGAAAGGAAAGTCAAACCGCATGACGTCACCAAAAGGAAATCTGATCATTCCTCTCCGGAAAAAGGGAGGGAGGTGGGAAATTGGGCTCTCTCCTATTGGTAATGATCAATATGGGGGGGTGACTCTTCGTGGATGGACCACATATGTGGAATATCAGAAGGTGGGGGATAAAATATTTAAAAGAGATATGTATGATTTTCTGGCCAAGAATTATGATCCGGGTCCACAGGCTACCTTCACTAATACGGAGGGAAAAACGTTTTTGGCGAAAAGGAATACATATGTGCGGTTTGATGATAATAAGGAAGTTGGCCTTAAATGGTACTCTCACACGGCCTTGCTGGACATTCAGATGTCGAAGATCAAGGCCAATGCAGTGTGGTCTATTGTGGATGTAGCTTCCTTTCTATGCACCATTCTACGCAAAGGTTTGTTACAGACAACATCAGAATTAGAAAATATTAACTGGATTCGTTTATAAACTCCCTATAACTCTATCTGTTAAAAAAATGAGTAAAGGAGTAAAAATGGATGCATTAAAAACTCTTTATGATAAGAATCCTTCTTGGCTTCGTGCAACACATACTGCAGATTTGGATCTTCGTTCTCTTAACGTGAATGGGTTGGCGACAGCAGACGCAGACAAACGTCGCTCAATCTTGGAGCAACTTAGAGGGGTGGGAGGAAAATCATGGCCAAATTTGATATGCATCCAAGAAACACATCTTATGGATATCTCTACACACACTAGAGCGCACAATCTGATATGGCCTTTCCAAAAATTATGTTCCCATGCGCAAAGAAGCGGATCAGGAGGGGTAGTTTTTTGGGTTCCTCCTCAATCTAGGTCAGAAATAGTGTACTGGGACGCAGATAAGGAGCAAGGGAGATGGATTGTAGCTCTAGTGATGTTGGAAATAGAGATAGTTTGTGTAATGAATATTTACGGTCCAAATGATGTACAGGAAAGGGTTACTTTTTTCCAAACAATTCGTAATCATATACCTGACGGGATACCCCTAATCATGGCAGGGGATTTCAATGCAGCCCCTGACCGAGGTTTGGACAGATGGAAGATCCCCACTCCCTGTCCTGGGTATATTGAGGAAGATGAGAATATAATTAGTAGATTATGTGAGTCAGAGGGTCTCTTTGACTCTTTTCGACGTCTTCATCCTCAGGAATGGATTTTTATATGTATACGACATGGGGGTTCCGTGATCATTTCAAGGTCACGTATAGACCTGATTTTACTATCAGAAGACCTAGAAAGGGCTCTTCAGGGGGCAGCTATTTTTCCTCGGAGTCCTGGCCTCGTGCGGACTACAAAATGTGTGCGATACTATTATCATTCTAAAAGACGCCGGATCGGGGGAGAGGATTTTATAAGTTGAATACGTCTCTTTTACACATTCCCCGATTCAGACAGTTTGTGCAGGATGTATGGACATACTGACAATCAACTAAGTCTCAGCATGACTCTCTCATTGAATGGTTTAACAATGGATTAGCCTTTATGGCTCGAAAATGTCAGGATTATTCAAAACTACTAGCAAAAGATAGATATCAGCAGGAGATACAAGTTCAAGAGCAAATTTTACATTATGAGTCACAGGATTCAGAGTCCAATCAACAACAACGAATTGATATCAGCAGCCTAAGGAATCAACTTCTTTCCTTTGCATAACATCGTTGGCAAGGGTATCTTATTAGAGGAAAACTAACCAAGCATCAAATTGAAGGACAAATGGGTACTACTTTCTTTGCTATGGCAAAAGCTCGGGTCAGAAGGGCAGTTATTGAAGGGTTGATTGATCCCACCATTCCCTCTCATATCGATAACCTTGTTTCCTCAACAGGTAGTCTTAAAACAACCTATGATTTCTTCAAAGGTCTTTTCACATCAGCCAAAAACTCTAAAGATATAATGGAAGATAATAAGGAGATATCTGACTTTCTAATCCCTCTGACAAAAGCTCTTTCGCAGGAACAAAAAGATGCACTTGAAAAAACAATTTCAAAAGAAGAAATCTGAACAGCATTGCTTCAAATGAAAGAGCATAAAACCCCGGGCATAGATGAATTTCCTAAATTCAGTCCAAAATTTAGAAAATATGGGAGAGTTTGTTGGACAAGGAATTCTCACTCTCCTTTATAAGAAAGGGGATAAATCTAATAGTAGGAATTACAGGCCTATCACATTGTTAACAGTGGTCTATAAGATGCTTGCTAAGGCTATAGGGAATAAAATGATTCCAATTATGCCAGAAATTATTCATCCATCTCAAACAGGGTTTATAGAAGGACGTCATATACAGGATAACATATTACTGATTAATGTGATGATCAAATTGACTCGTCAGTCACGTCAAAATGCTGCAATTGTCTTTATAGACTTCGAGAAAGCCTATGACCATGTGGACTGGAGATTCTTGGATGTTTGTTTATCAAAAATGAACTTCGGTCCTGTTTT